GGGGCCCGCCCCCCTTAAGTAAAAACCCTCAAAAAAAAAAAAAAAAGTAAATAAAAAAAATAAAGAACCGGGGTGATGAGATCAGTATTTTGGAATGATGGTGCTAGCCACAGTGTGGAGCATAGATCTGACAGGGAGAGCCTGGACAGGGAAGCCTTTTAGGAAGCTGGTTTGCCCCGGTAGGCAAGCCTTAGATTATGGCACACTGAGTGAAGTTGGAAGCAGAGTGGCATAAATGTGGCATCGCATCAGAAGAGGGCTGAAAAGCTGGATCAGCTAAGGCTTTACGGAGAAGGTGGCTTTTGACCTTGATCATGAAAATGAAAACATAAATGGGAAATGAAGGGAGCGAATTGCAATATTAGAGAACAGCATGTTCAAAAGCACAGGCTACAAAAATGCAAGGAATGTTCAGGAACTCGTACGGAGGGAAATCAAGCCAGCTAGCTGGCTAGCAAGCAAGTCATTGAAGTAGTGCCAGCAAAAGATGGCAAGGGCTTAGTGATTCAGAGTCAAGCAGTCGAAGCCAGACTTGGCCACTAAGGGAAAATGGAGGGTAAAGGAAAGAAATGAATTGCAAATCTGAGACTAAAATATTTCTAGACTAAAAATACTTTTGATATAACATTAAACAAGATGGGAAGGACTAAGATGGGTTAACAAGAAAAACAGTACACAGGACTAGGCAGGGGCATGTGCCACACCGCTGCAAGGCTGGCCCACATGAGAAGGTTGCTGGTTCACATCCAGAGACCCCCCTGAGTATGTAAGCACATGTATGCCCATGACCAGGGGCCAATCAAGGCCAGGGGTGGATCCCACTCTGAAGACCATGTCAGGGATGCTGTCGGTCTCTCTTCTCTCTCCCCCCACGTCTCTCATAGAGGAAATAATAAAACTTAAAGAAAAGTATAGTTTCAGACATGCTAAATGTGTTCGCTTTGCAGCATCTGGATTGAATTGCCTAGCAGGCATTTGGAAAGCCAGTATAGAGAGACTTGGGGGTCATTGGCTTCTGATCGGCTGGAGCTGATGAGATATTGAAGCTAATGAAATAGTGACCATTTGCTGTTTTCCTTTTTTAACCTCAGACCGGTTGTCACCAAAGCCCTTTGTGAAACACCTCATTCTGTTTAATGTGGATTAGAAAGTGACCCTCAAGAATACAGATTTTGGGGGCCAACCCTGTGGCCTAGTGGTAAGAGCCAGATCCCGTGTGGGTTGGCTCTAAATAATACACTAAATTCCAGTCATGTGTCTCTCAAGTGCTTTTGTGCTCATGCTCTTTCCCCTACCCCACATGGTAGACCAAGTGGATTAAATCCTCTACCTCACATAGCCAGCCAAGTGGATTAAATCCTGGCCCCTTTAAGGAAACACTGAGTACATGGGCCTGCATGCCGAAAATTCCAACAGGATGGAGAAAATGGAGGTGGAATTCTCCACATAAACATGACCCATTGGGAGTGTGCGTCCCTCTCCCTGTCTCCTTGTATCTCTGTCTGTCTCTGGTGAGCACACACACACACATTCTTGGCAAATTTTTTTTTTTTTTTTTTTTTTTTTTAGGGGTTTCCCTCCAAGGGCCCTTGTGCTCATCAGGGAAACAGAAAGAGACAGAGAGATAGAAAGTGAGAAATCACCCCCTAGGGAAGATGACCACACCACAATCCCTTCTCCTCCATTCTCCTCTGAGGATTTTGGACATCCACATGCCTGGTGTGAGTTTTAAGCTGCTGGGTCTGGGACTCCAATCAGGGCCAATTACCTGGGAGTCCAGTGACATAACCATTACACCATCTGCTGGTCCCAGACAGAATTTTTCTCAAAATAAAAATAAAGGAGGACCAGCCCATGGCCTGGTGATTAAGGCAGCTGGATCCCAAATAGCTGACCATGCAGTTTGAGCCCTGGACCTGGCAGCTTGAAAATCATGCCAAGCATGTGTGTTTGCATGCCCAAAATGCCAAAAGGAGGAAGAAATGAAGGAGAAGGGATTGTGGCATGACTGTTCCCCACAGGAGGGGGTTTCTCACCCCCCCGTCCCCCGCTTGTCCTTGCTTTTGCTCTCTCTCTCTCTCTCTGATGAACATGCAGGCCTCCTGGCAAATTTTAAAAGAGTACTGATGTTTTGTATTTTGAACATTCTACAACCTGAATGATATAGAAAGACTGTCTCTGCTTTCCAATGAAACATTTATAGCAGGGCTGACCCCATAGCACAGTGGTTAAGCTCTGTGCCTTGGGAGCTGGATCTCAATGATCGACCACGGTTTGAACCTTGACCACAGCAACTTGAAAAACACATCAGGCACATATGTACGCATGCTCAGGGTCCCAACAGGAAGAAATGGCGGAAAAAGGAATGTGGCATGACTGTGCTCATTGGGGAGGTTCTCTCTCTTTCTCTAGCAAGTACATGCACCCTCTGACAAAAAAAAATTTTTTTTAATTAAAAAAAAGTTTAAAAACAAAACTATAACAATATTCTCTTGTGACAGCAATTGCTAACAGTAATTCAACTGGGGGCTGTCTCAGCTGCTTTTTTTTTTTTTTTTTTGAGAGTTTTTTGGTATAGTGTGCATGTGCTTGACAGAGACAGAGAGATAGAAAGAGAGAAATCACTCCCCAGGGAGATAGCCACTCTGCAATCCCTTTCCCTTGATTCTCCTCTCCAGATTTTGGGCACTCGCGCACATCCACCTGGTGTGAGTTTCAAGCCACTGGGTTCAGGACTCGAACTGCTGTCACCCATGTGGGAATCCAGTGATGTAAACTTTACACCATCTGCTGGTCCCTGAGCAGCTTTTAACTGTAGGCTTTGTTGTGCCTTATTCGGCCTGTGAATAGAGTGCTCCCGTACAGCAGTCTCACCGAGTTTCTGTTTCTTATTCCAGGTTTCATCGTCCATAATTAAGTACAAGACTATTGGCTAACAGACTGATGATCATCTGTGGGGGAAGCCTTGCTTCCTGAAAACCTGATATTGCACTGGGATTTGAATGTGTGTTTCCGTTGAACTTACGGTGAAGGAAACTTTGTTGGAAAGTGCTCCTCCCTGTGCAGCCTGAATGGGGCCAACCACAAAGGGAAGGATGCGGTGCCCCTTCTGCCAAGAACGTTCTTACAGTGTGGTAAGGGACGCATGTTACACCAGGTATTCTTCATCGGGAGTTGTAAATCCGAGAAACGAGCAGAAGACAATCGCTGGCTCCCTATTAACAGAAAGCCAAATTTTACTGTGCGGGTTAAAGAAAAATGGAGATTGAAACTTCTGGGCACTGGAAAAGGATAAAGGTTGGAAATCAGAAAAAAAAAAAAGAGAAATATTTCATTATGTTAATGAAGAAGAGAGAAAAATTGACAAATAAATGTATTTTTGGAGTGGGCATTTGGTAACTGAGAACTTAAGAAAGGATTTGGGAATCTAATCACTCAATGGGGATTCCTTAAAGACTTGATCCTTGAAGAATATTCTTGTTTCACCATTATGTTGGTACAGTATGGTACCATTATTTTATGTTGTGCCAGTGAATCCAATTGCCAGAAATAAGTCTGAATGTTTTCATGCATCTTTTTCTTAATTGCAAAAAGCTTCTACTGACTCTTAACAAGCATGCTTTCCCAAATTTTGTTGCATGCTTTAAGTAGCATAGTTATACACACTTGACAGTTTTTTATACTTCTCTTCGAGTGTACCAACCTTCCACAAGTGTAACAGGACTGGGAATAAAGTCAGATGTACTGAGACCCTATCAATCTGTAGCAAGCTTTAGAAATAAATCTTTTGGTCTTCCCCTGCTTATCTCCAAAGTCGAAGCAAACACACTTCATCTAAAGATAGTATTGACAATCATGATGCCATTTTTCAAAACCTAAATCCAAAGTTAAAACTGAAATGAGATGTAAGTATACTGTCTGCAGTTAGCTCTAAGTGGAATGCAAAGAACCAGCTAATGTTCAGTGCTGCATTTTAAAAAGTTGGGTTGCTGCTATTAAAAAAAAAATAAAGCACATGGATCAAAATATATATATATTCACCCAAAGACTTAAAAGAACACAGACTTCTGCTAAGTTGCGTGTAAGAAAAAACTCGTCTTATATTTTAAGTCTGCAGACTGCATCCATATATATAATATTTACATTCAGTGTAAAAGAACTAGTGAGATTAAAGTCACAGAAGGTTTCCCTTTGAGCCTACAGTCAATATTGTTTACATTAAAAAACCCTCTAAGAAATTCTGTATTGCTGTTTTACGTGGAATCATAGGCACATTATAACTTCTGCTTCCAAATACATATGACTATATGTAAATACTACTTTGCATTTCATTGTTCTTTCACCACTGTTTTGTTGAAATGTATAACCACAAGACCTAAGAGTTTATTTTAATCTCAGAGCTTAGACTAGAATTTTCTGAAATGTTCTGGTTCATAACATGCAAGACTATAGTTTTCTGTTTCAACGAAAAGTAAGCATTTAATTCTGTGGATAAATGTAGGTCCAGCCATTCATTGATATTTTAAAGAACCACCTGAAATTGGATGTTTTCAAATTTTTAAAAATTTACCAATACTTGGCCTATTATAAAAAGCCAGGGAGATTTTATAACGAAAAAAGAAACCAGCATTATTGCACCTCTTATTGCACTCAGCTCTGTGTATTAATAAAATAAACCTCTGCTGTCATTGCACTAATAAGATAAGATGTATTTTTGCTTTGAAAAAATGTTTCTGTGTGCCCAAGTAGCACCTGTCTCTGGCTGGAGTTTTCCCTGTTCTTGAGTATTTTAATCGAGCCATGAGAATTCAATTTATTATTTTTTTCTGAAGTCATCCTTTTCCTTATGATGTTTTGTTTTATTGTCAGTTTAGTATCGTGGGGAAGATACCAAGGAATCTATGTTTCTTTTCATTTTTTATGCTTATAACCTTTGAACTTTTAAAAAAGTTTCTAATCATAAGGTCTCTATAGAATGGTAAATATAAGATATTATCACAGTTTTATCACTCAAGATACATGTCTTAGAAAAAAGGAACTTTTTTTCACACTAGTGGTGCATAGGATACAATTTTCTTGTTCCTACAATGAGATACACCCAGTTCAAAAACAAAAATCTTGTTTTAATATATTGTTTTTCTTGTATGTTGGATGTATGAACCACCCATACTTTTTCTTCATATTGACTGATATGGTTAGAGAAAATTCCATACATTAGGGAGTATTTTAAAAGGTAAAAGGAAAGGGAAAAAATTAACTACTGGTAGTCTAATATTAAAGTAATTGGAACTACTAATTATTTCATTAGAATGGTTTATTAAATAAAAAGCTTGGGAAGGAATTAAAGGATTATATAAGCTGAGCTATATTTTGTAGAATTTGGTTTTTGTTTTGGCAACCTGTGCTTGTTGGAGAGAAACAAGGGATGGGGGGCTGAAAAATCATCCCCAAGTGGGGATGGCCACATTGCAATCCACTCATCAGGATGTCCACTTTGCAGTCCACTCTCCTCTATTCTCTTCTCTGGACCTTGGGCGTGCACACACACACGCACACACACACACGGCATGATTTTCAAGCTGCTGGGTCCAGAACTCCAATCATGAAGTTGACTATGTGAGATCCAGCCACCTTAACCTCCATGCCACCTGCTGCCCGTGGGTCTATTTTAATAGTTAATTTTAAGAAACAGGAAGACGGCATGTCCCCACCAGTGGCTCAGCCGACGCCTCCTATCTGACAGCCCTGAAAGGATACAAAGGCGTGGACCTCCTCCGTATAATTTGAAGCCTCTGCCCACTGTCATCATTTCTGCAATTCAGCTATAAGCCTATGTTCTATAAAGGAAATAAATGTGAGTGGCAATAGGATTTATTTAGTTGTCATAACAACTCCAGATTTTTTTAATATTTGAAGTGGGATAGTAACATAAAGGCTAACATAAAGTGAGTGAATGAGCTTTCCTGCGCTCCTACTATACTGATTGAGGAACAAAACAAAGCCATTTCTGGGAAGATCCCAGGGAGGAAAGAATTAAATATGTCGTAAAAATTAAAGTGACCGTTTCTGTCTTTTCTCAAATGGAGGGGGAAAACTGATTAATATTAAGGTGGTAAGAAGATGCGGAATGGGCTTTATGTCATTACCAAATCAGTCTGATAACTGTTCTCTAGTGATTAGCAGTATTTTAAGGCAGCTTACGTGGTATTTTCTGTGTTTGTGAAGCATCTTACATTTTTCTGTTACCTGTAATTTATCTTTATGGTAATTCCTTAAATTATTTAACTTAAATCTATAATATTCAGAGAACCACTTGGGATATTTAGCAGCTAATTTAAATGGAGGAAAAAGAAAACACATCTGTCTTTCTGACTTACCCAGAAAAAATGACCCCGTTTTTCATCTTCATGTTCTTGATTAGCATAATGAGCATAATAACGTTCTCTAATGTTAGTAAATATATTCTTAAGGAGAAAGATCTGTAGTTTAAGGAGGGACCAGCAGACGATGTAACAGTTATGTCGCTGGACACTAGTCAACCATGGTTCAAGTCTCAGACCTGGCAGTTTAAAAACTCAGGCCGGGTACATGTGTGTGCATGCCCAAAATCTCAAGAGGAAAATGGAGGAGAAGGGATTGTCATGTGGCCATTTCCCCCTCGGGGGTGATTTCTCACTTTCTGTCTCTCTCTGCCTCTCTAGCGAGCACACATGCCCTATAGCAAAAGGCTCTTAAAAAAGAAGAAAGAAAGAAAGAAAGAAAGAAAGAAAGAAAGAAAGAAAGAAAAATGTATTTAAGGAAATAAAAGAATAAACAAATTCAATGCACCTTTCAAAAAATCACCAAACCTTGAAAATGAAGGATGAGTCCTTAAAGCCTGTAAGTCAGGTTGTAATGCCTTCCAAATAATTCAGTACTGCATAGGCGCTTAAAAATATGTATTTATAAAATAGTTTACATTAAAAAGAGAAAAATCTGCATTAACACTGCATATCCTGGTATGTACAACATTAACACATAACAGGAATTTTATTTATTCTTCAGAGTCACCTAGATACAAGTTTCAGAAAGTATATTATATTTATAGTAGGAAGAGGCAGTCTCGTGGACCACATACTGGTATGTCCACACTTAAACAGTGAAAACTTCTTTCTTGCTCAAAAATTAATTTAGTTTGTTGTCATTTTTAAGTGGTCCTAGAAGCAGATTTTACACAGAGTAAGAAGTCTTCCTCAGAATTGGTAAAAGAGCATTAAATAAGGACAAGGAATATAAATTTATATCATTTTCATCCGGGTGGTAGAATTGTTCAAGCATTCCTAAACTGCAATTATAGTAAGCCTATCTTTACTAGTTAACGTATATGCTTTGATAAGAATTTCTCCACATCATTGGAGTATGTTATGAGCATTTAGAAACCATTTGGATGAAATCTATTTACGAAATTGTCCCTTGGCCTCTGGAATGGCTAGTCTTTCGCTATGAGAATTTGCTCACTAATTTTTGGTAAGATATAGTACATTGTTTTACATGAAAACAGAATGAACGTCAGGAACTACAATATGCCCTAGAAGGGAAATGATGATAAAAGTAATCATCAAATTATCAGGAACATCTCTCTTTCTGAGAGAAAGTTAGTTCCAGTCCAAGATAGTTTCGATGGTTCAAGTCCAAGTTTCAAAGAAGAACATAAGGCTCTACCATAAAGTCAGACGGTGACCCAAAGGGTGGTGGGGGCAAAGGCAGAACACCCCCAACCCATTCACATCTTTGCCTTCTGTTTAATTTTCGTATTCATCGAGCTTAAGCTCCATATGAAAATTCAAAGCACCACTAACATTTCTAGAAGGCAGCTGAAAGGCAGTCCATTTACTCTTCTTGAAGACAGATTTATGCCAAATCAAGAAATTCCCTTATAGTTATTGTAAGATTTCTGGCAAAGAAATGGAGATTCCTGTGGTGGCATTTCCCCCTTAAAGCCAACTGTGTAAGAATCATTTTTAGCTCTGCTAGGATTTACTGCACCTACACACAGAAATGTCATTTAGCTTGCCGCGTTGCTAACACAGCTGCATACATGAGCAAAGCAGTGTTGATCAGAGTTTCTCAGTGGGGATGCTGTTGGCATTTGGAGCTACGTGACTCTTTGTTGTATAGAAATGTCATAGATGTTTAATGTCATGGGCCCCTGCTGACTAAATGCCAGTCGCATTCCCAGTAATTGTGAAAACCAAGAGTAAAAAAAGCCTTCCTTTATATTCAGATACCCTCCCTAGAGGGATGGTCCCACCTCATTGGGATACCACTGTCTACTGCAATCTGAGGACACACAAGAAAAAGAGCCTATCCCAAAACACAGTCTCTCCTGCCTCACATTTCTCTGGGGCCCTGTACAGTTTCTTCCCCCTTCAGTTCTTGAGCTTTCTACCTCACTGTAGATTTAATTCGCCTGTCCTTCAGGAAGGAGGTTATCAGATATCCTTGGCAATTCCAGTGGGTATAATGACCTGGGTTGGTTCTGTATGTACCTATAGAAGGGATTTTATATGAAACAAGGTTTGTTTGTTTGTTTTTCTCTCACAATTTTACTTTAGAACCATACTCTTGGCCATAATTCTTGTCAATGTCATGAGGGTTGTTGCATGGGTTAAACACAAACACGACTAACAATCCACATGAATAAAGTAGGTGGTCTTTGGAAATCACTGGTAGATTTCACCTGGTAACCCTGCATCTCATAAGTTCCAAAAGAATCACCTGTTTATCCTATTAATGAAGCATTTAATCCAGATACAAAGGCTTGCATTCCTCGTACATATTAATAAATGCAGTCATACAGTTTGACTTTCCTAATAAGATCTGTAAATACTGCACTGCGAAGGCAATGTGGATTACCTGTAGGTTGCAGACATGTGGTTCATCCAAAAGTAATGGTTCTGTGTGAAACAAGACGAGTTTTACCTAGATGGAACATTAGTAAACTGTACTAACAATACAGAAACCTACTTACCTACGTTCTTTATTTTTATAACCAAAACTGAATGGCAAATATGTTTTGAAATTATTTGGGTGAATTGTGGCTAGTAGATTTAAAACTTAGCTACTGTTATTTTTAAAAATATTAAAAAGTCTAAATCTATTTTTGGAAGCAGAGCAACTCAGAGTCAATAAAGGTGGTTTAACTGTAAACTTTTAGATGGTGCTTAAGAATTCTTACCTTTTGAAATAGTAGTATTTTTTTTTAAAGAATAAATTGAAAGGAGTAAATGAGGCAGAATGCCACTCCACCCTCAGGTCAACTTTATGGTATATTAAAATGCCAATACTATATGTGCCACTTGCCAATTTGGGGGTCTTTTCTCTTCATGGAAGCTCTGTTATAGTTTGACATGCGTCATGACATTGCTTAGAGAGCCTCCACACGAGAAGTTGCCACTGCAGTGCTCACTAGCATGCGGAAATAATCCGAATGATTTGAGGGTCAAACCACTTCATCGCTTAACACATAGGCACCACCTTTTCTTTTGCTTTCTTTCTTTCTTTCTTTTTTTTTTTTAATGTGTCTTCCGTGGCTTAGAAATGTGCCAGTGGGTTCAAAACATCCTGCACTTATTTCATCAGATGTAGTACCTACTAAAAATTCAAACTAGTCCATTTTTTTCTATGTAGCATTGATTTTTAAAATAACAGACTCTTGTTCTTTCAAGCTTTGGTTCAAGTGAAAAGAATGGTAAACTGTGATTTTTTTTATCAGACTGACTAAATGATTCCTGATTTCCAGTGAGTGATCTAGTCCTACATATTACACAGGTATAATATCTGTGAGTGTAAATAACTGGAACTGTACACTGATCAACATGACAGTTTCTCTTTTTTGTTGTTCTTAATCTGTACTGTATCATAGTGTGTGGGTATAAATATCTACAAGTACACATACGTATATGTATATGTATTCCACTATTGTAACCTGAAAGAAAGACTGTATTATCTTTTGTATTCCATACTGGTGTTTGTGTTATTTAAAAAGCAAAATTATGCTCTATCTAGTTGTATAATATTATAGTATACTTTGCTGTGCACAATTCCAAGTGCCTTAGAACATTGTTTAGCTTTCCTAAGTATATATAATGCATATATGTATAAAATTGGGAAAAGTTACCTCAATAAAATCATTGGGAAATCCCATGTTTAGTCTGTTCCAATTTCTGTTGTGCAGATATGAATATAAAAACTCACAGTTTTCAGTCATAAAAGCAAGAGTAAAACTGTTTTCCTGATGGTCTGTGATTTCGACTCTGCCTAACCTTTTAACACTTTTTGTATGTAAGGCCTTGTGGGATTTTTTTGTTTTTAACTTTTTATTTTA